TTTTTTTTTTTTTTTTTTTGAGACAGAGTCTTGCTCTGTCTCCCAGGCTGGAGTGCAGTGGCACGATCTTGGCTCATTGCAACCTACGCCTCCCGGCTTCAAGCAATTCTCCTGCCTCAGCCTCCTGAGTAGCTGGGATTACAGGCACCTGCCACCACGCCCTGCTAGTTTTTGTATTTTTAGTAGAGACGGGGTTTCGCCATGTTGGCCAGGCTGGTCTTGATCTCTTGACCTCGTGATCCGCCCGCCTTGGCCACCCAAAGTCCAAAGTGCTGGGATTACAGGCTTGAGCCACCCCGCCCAGCCTAGCCTTTTTTATTTGTTTTTTTGAGATAGAGTCTCACTCTGTCGTCCAGGCTGGAGTGCAGTGGCACGAACTGGGCTCACTGCAAGCTCTGCCTCCCGGGTTCACGCCAGTCTCCTGTCTCAGCCTCCTGAGTAACTGGGACTACAGGCGCCTGCCACAATGCCTGGCTAATTTTTGTATTTTTAGTAGAGACAGGGTTTCATCATGTTAGCCAGGGTGGTTTCCATCTCCCGGCCTCGTGATCTGCTCACCTTGGCCTCCCAAAGTGCTGGGATTACAGGTGTGAGCCACCGCGCCTGGCCCAGCCTAGCCATTTTAACGTGTGTAATTCAGTGGCATTATTACCATCACAATTTTGTGTAACCATCACCACTACTTTCAAAACTTTTTCGTCACTCCAAACAGAAACCCTATACCCATTAAGCAACACTTCTCCATTCCTCCTTATCCCAGCCACTGAACCTCTAATCTACCTTCTGTCTCTAGGAATCTGTATTCCAGATACTGCATGGAAGTGGAATCACACAAGATTTGTCTTTTTGTGACTGGCTTATTTTACATAGCATAATGTTTTCAAGGTTTATCCATGGTGTATCCTGTGTTAGAATTTCCTTCCTTTTTTTCTTTTCTTTCTTCTCTTTTTTGAGACAAAGTCTAGCTCTGTCGCCCAGGTTGGAGTGCAGTGGCTCGATCTTGGCTCACTGCAACCTCCGCCTCCTGGGTTGAAGTGATTCTTCTGCCTCAGCCTCCTGAGTAGCTGGGACAACAGGTGCGCACCACCATCCCCGGCTAATTTTTTGTATTTTTAGCAGAGACGCGGTTTCACCATGTTGACCACACTGGTCTCCAACTCCTGACCTCGTGATCCACCCGCCTCAGCCTCCCAAAGTGCTAGGATTACAGGCGTGAGCCACCGCACCCGGCCGAATTTCCTTCCTTTTTAAGGCTGAAAAATATTTCATTGTTTGTATGGACCACATTTTATCACTCCATCCACCCATGGACACTTGGGTTGTTTCTGTCTTTTGGCTATTGTGAAAAATGCTGCAGTGAACATGGGGGCACAAATATGTTTGAGTCTCTGATTTACATTCTTTTGGGAATATAGGCAGAAGTAGGGTTGCTGGATCATACGGTAGTTCCGTTTTTGTTTTCTCCTAGAAAGGCAGATTGCCACATGCAGCGCCTCATTTGGATGCGTCTGGAATCTTGGAAGCTTGACTACCCTACATTCTCCTACAAATGGACCTTGAGAGCTTGTTTGGAGGTTCTAGCAGGGGAGCCCAACTCCTCTCTTGGGTACAGTCGTCCCCTTCGATTGAGCCGCAGCTTTGGGAGGGACGCACATGAAACAGTGAGGAAGGAAGGGGACACTGACCTAGCCAACCAGATCAGCCGAATCAACCCTGGCAATCAGTGGGATGACAGGTGTCGCAGCCAGATCGCCCTCATATCCGGTAGTTCTACTTTTAACCTTTTGTGGAATCTCCATAGTTTTCTGCGGTGCTGCGCCATTTACATTCCCACCAACTGCGCACTTGTACATGTTTCCACTGACGAACCAAAAACTTTCATGTTTTCAGAGGTTCAACATGTCTATCCAGGGAAACTTGCTCTCCGATGTCTTCTCCTCTGGCCACAGTAAGAGGTTTCACAGACCCTCGTGGGTCAAGAGTAACTGTTAACTGGCCCTTCTCCCATGGGGTCCCCCCGTAGACCTCCAACTCTCAACTGGGGCGAAATGAAACGCAGGGACTGTGGGAAGGAACTGCGGTATGGGCTGGGAGGGCCCCAGGTCTCGCCCCTCGCCCAGTCTCCCAAGGGGACCCGATCCCGGACTGCACAAGCTGGGCCGCGCGGCCTCCCAGCACCCGAACCGCCCCTTCCCAGCGACAACCAGGCTACTTCCCGACGCTCACTAGTGACGTCCCCGCCTCGCTCTGCGCGTGCGCGGCTCCGCCTCTTCGCTGCCGTTGCCAGGGCGACGGCGGGTCGTCTGCGGCCGGCAGACATTCGGGCCTGCTCCCCGCGGCTCCGCCCCGGCCCGCTCTGCCCCGCTAGCGGCAAAAAGGTCGCGTAGCGATGACGTCGCGGGGGCTTGGCCGGGCGTCGCGGACTTGGGAGATGGAGGAAAAGGAGATATTACGGCGGCAGATCCGTCTCCTGCAGGGTAGGTCCGGCCGGGGCTAGGACGCGAGTCCCCTTCTTTCCCCCTCACCTCGCGGCCGGTCTCTGTCCGCCTCGTCGAAGGGGTCGCTCACCGCCCGCGTGTTCCTGGTGGCGGCTGGTGTGGGGAACGGTAGGGTCCGTCAGGACTTGTGGGCCGGCTCAGGGCCCGGGTCAGTCCCCGGCTCCAGCTTTGTGGAGGGAGCGGTGCCGGCCCTGCGGGGGCTGCAGAGGGTGGAGGCAGGGCCATCGCTTAGTAACGCGCGGGAGGCGTCGGCCCTCCCCACCTCGGCGCCCACCCTCGCTCCCCGCGCCCCACTGCGGGACTGGGACTGGTTCATGGGTCATTTCGGCAGAGCAGGCTCCGGGCACACACGGATTCTTTTCTTGACGCCCATTTTTTTGTTGTTTTGTTTTGTTTTGTTTTGTTTTTTTGAGACAGAGTGTTGCTGTTACCCAGGCCGGGGTGCAGTGACGCTATCTCGGCTCGCTGCAACCTCCGCATCCCGGGTTCAAGCGATTCTCCTGCCTCAGCCTCCGGAGTCGGTGGGATTACAGATATGCGCCACAACGCCCGGCTGATTTTTGTATTTTGAGTAGAGACAGGGTTTCACCATGTTGGCCAGGTTGGTCTCTAACTCGCGACCTCAGGTAATCCACCCACCTGGGCTTCCCAAACTGCTGGGATTACAGGCATGAGCCACCGCTCCCAGCCTCGACGCCCAGTTTTGATGCCCCTTTTCTCCAAACAGTCACACTTCCCTTGCGTTTCAGGCGCAGACTCAACAGGCTTCAGCTTCCACACTTAAACATTAAAAAACCCAAATTGGTGTTTCTAAACTTAAAAAAAAAAATCCATGTACGGACGCAATGGCCCACGCCTATAATCCCAGCACTTTGGGAGGCCATGGCAGGAGGATGGCTTGAGCCCGGGAGTTTGAGACCATCCTGGGCAACATGAGGAGACCCCGTCTCTACAGAAAAATTTTTAAAAATGAAATGGGCGTGGTGGCTTGCGCCTGTAGTCCCAGCTACTCAGAGGTGGAAGGTTCGCTTGTGCCCAGGAGGTCCCGGCTGCAGTGAGCTGTGATTGGGCCACTGCACTCCAGCCTGGGCAACAGAGATAAGCCAAATAAAATAAATAAATAAAAAAAGCCAAATAACATCTCAAATAAAAAGCCAAAACCAACCAACCAAAAAAAAACTAACAAAAATTAAAACTCCTTTTTGCTTTTACTCTCACAAAGGGAAGACTTAAGGATTGGGAAAGTGTGTATGGATAAGAGGACACTTCTTGGGCTCCTATCACACCTGCTCGGGGTGTCACCACGTCTGGACATGGCTTTCTGTGTCCCCAGGGGCAGGGCCTGTGGTGGGGGAATGCTGATGTCTGGGAGGCTGGCTGCTGCTAGTTTGCTGGTTGAGTCGGAGCACCCCTGGCTGCTGCTGCCCTTGCCTGTGTTCCTGGCCCTCCTGCACCGGGATAGCTATCCAGGGACTTATTTGGAAAGTCCTGTGATTGTGTCAGTTTACTGCAGTAGGACTCTAGCCCATTGCTCTCTCCTCTTCTGCAGGGAAGACTGTGACGTCTGGCAGGGCAATGGTCTCTGCTCCTAGTATTCTTTTTTCCTGTTGTCAGGCATGGCGTCCTCAGGAGTGTCAGTTCTGTTTCCCTTAGTGGAGTGACTCCTTTCCGTCTGTAGGCAAGCCAGAGGGCCTGCGCGGCCGACTTGTCCCTTCTGATTCAAACAGTGCAGAGGGGATCGTTGCGATTCTCTTCAGACTGAGTGATACTTCTCATCAAAGGACTGTGGACTCAGTAGACCAGCAAATAAGGGTTGTACCACATGGTTCATTTTTGTGTTAAGCAGGTGGAAGTAGGATTGAAGTGGAGCTGTTGGAGAAAAGGCTCATAGAAGTGACAGGCCCAGGTGACGCGGACTGAGTTGTCAGTGAGTCCCAGGTGCTGGGGGCTGTGCCTCCTGAAACCGGCAGGGGCTCAGAAGTGAGATGAGATCTGGGGGTATCTTGCCAGCTGATGCCCTTCCAGGGTAGTCATGATTGTTACGGTTACCCTCTGGCTAACTGAGCCTGTGGTTCTGTCTTCTCAGGTCTAATTGATGACTACAAAACCCTCCATGGCAATGCCCCAGCCCCTGGTACCCCAACAGCTTCTGGGTGGCAGCCACCCACTTACCACAGTGGCAGGGCCTTCAGTGCCCGCTACCCTCGTCCAAGCCGGAGGGGCTACTCCTCACACCATGGGCCTTCGTGGCGCAAGAAATACTCCCTCGTGAATCGGCCCCCGGGACCCTCAGACCCACCTGCCGACCCTGCTGTGCGGCCGTTGCACGGGGCTCGGGGGGGCCCGGCTCCTGTCCCGCAGCAGCGCATCCTTGGGAGACAGGTCCAGCTCAATCAAGGTCAGAACGTGGTCATCAAAGTTAAACCACCATCAAAGTCTGGCTCTGCCAGTGCTTCAGGGGCCCAGCGGGGCTCTTTGGAGGAATATGAGGACACCCCCTGGAGTGACCAAAGGCCCCGGGAAGGGGAAGGTGAGCCCCCTCGGGGACAGCTGCAGCCCTCGAGACCAGCAAGAATCAGGGGGACCTGCAATGTGGAAGATCCTCTTCTGGTCTGCCCGAAGGAGGCCGGTAAGCCCAGGGTGGTGAAATCAGTGGGCAGTGTGGGCGACAGCCCCCGGGAGCCCTGCCGGACAGTCAGCGAGAGCGTGATTGCCATCAAGGCGAGCTTCCCATCCTCCGCTCTGCCCCCACGCACTGGCGTGGCCCCCGGCCGGAAGCTGGGTTCTCATTCCGTGGCCAGCTGTGCTCCACAGCTCCTTGGGGACAGGAGAGTAGATGCTGGCCACACAGATCAGCCAGTTCCGTCAGGCTCAGTGGTGGGCCCAGCCAGACTGGCCTCAGGACCCAGGCAGGCTCGGGAGGCCTCGCTGGTTGTGACCTGTCGAACTAACAAGTTCCGGAAAAACAACTACAAATGGGTGGCTGCCTCCGCGAAGAGTCCCCGGGCTGCTCGGAGGGCCCTCAGTCCCAGAGTGGCTGCAGAGAATGTGTGCAAGGTCCCTGCTGGCACGGCAAACAAGGTGGAGAAGCCGCAGCTCATAGCTGACCCAGAGCCCAAGCCCAGGAAGCCAGCCACGTCCTCCAAGCCAGGGTCTGCCCCCAGCAAGTACAAGTGGAAGGCCTCCAGCCCCTCTGCCTCCTCCTCTTCCTCCTTCCGTTGGCAGTCAGAGGCCGGCAGCAAGGATCATGCCTCCCAGCTCTCCCCAGTCCTGTCTAGGTCCCCGCCGGGGGACAGGCCAGCCGTAGGACTCAGTGGCTTGAAGCCCGTCTCTGGGGAGACCCCGCTTTCGGCTTACAAAGTGAAGAGCCGCACCAAGATCATCCGGAGGCGGGGCAGTACAAGGTGGGCATCTCGGCCGGCTGCGGTGGAGTGTGAGGGGCTGTGAGGAGGGTTTGTTTGGCACCCCGATGGATCTTCTGAGCTCGGAGCTTTGCCTGCAGTTGGGTTCACGTTTCCAGCAAGAAATGAGGCAGGAAGTGCTGCTGTGGTGGTTTGGGCTAGCCTGCGGCACAGAGTTAGGGGGCAGGTTTCCCATCCCTCATGCTGCTGGCAAGCCCATGCTTTCTCCTGCTGGTGAGAGCCAGCAGCTTCCATTCCAGTTGCACAGGGTTCACAGAGGGAAGGCTTTGGGCCAGGCCAGGCACAGGGGGAGTAGTTCCCAGGGACCAGCCCAGGGTCCATGTGTCCCCAGGGGGATGGTGAGACAGTGAGAGCAGGTGTCTGCCCCTGGCCTGGAGCTGCCAGCCACAGGTCTGTGCTGGGAGGTGGACCAGGGCTCTGGGCCCTGCCAGGGGTGTCTGGTCTTTCCTTCCTGCCCTGTGTCTAGGGCTTGGGCTCCAGGAGACCTGGTCTTTGCTGGCCCCCAGGCTGAGGACTGCTCCAGCTGGGCTGATGGGCGGGGGCCAGGAGCTGCTGGTAGGCGGGAGCCTCCTTGGGCATTCCCGGCTTTGGGCTCTGTGGCCTGCCTCGCGGAGTGCTGAGGCTGCGGTTGGCCTCTGGTCCCAGGGCGACCAGATTGGTGTTAGGTCCCAGCCCCCTTGGCTAGGCAGCCAGGCGGAGTCACTCACTTGCTTGGCACACTTCTCTCCCGGCCTCCACCTTTGCGGACTTGTGATGAGACTGAGAGATGGTGTCATGGCGCAGTGCTTGGTCTGGGCTCAGGGACTCCATCAGGTTGGCAGCTAAGGTGGCAGCTGCACCTGCTGGGCAGAGGGTGGAGGTCCTGCCTTCGTCATCAGACACAGCGGCGCGCACTGTCTTGGAAGGCACCTCCTTGCTGCGCACCCCTGCTGTCTGGTCTACGTCGCTGGCTCGTGTAGCTCATTCTCTCTGGCCCTGCTCCCCGAGACAGGTGCTGTCTTGAGGCACATGGGCACCTGGCTCCCACTCCTGGCTGTTTCTCGGTGGCAGCTCTGCTCTAAACCATGCTGGCAGCTCCCTCTGTCCAGGAAGTGTGGAGAGGGAGTGCGGAGAAGCTGCCCCCTTACTGAGGGGCTCGGAAAGCCACGTGGGGCTGGTGGCCGCTCTCCTCAGGGATGTTGGCCCTTCCCTTTGCCCCATGCAGGGACTCCTCTGGCCTGGGTAGATGGGGAAGAGGTGGACATGTGTGTGGGGACAGAGTGCTGAGGCCCCTCTGTTCTCCCTGGGAGCATGGTAGCCTGCCCTAGTTCTGGGGTCATCTGGGATTGTGGATCCAAGCCTGCCGCCTCAGCCTGGCTGTGGAGGGTGGGCAGAGCTGCCATGGGTTGAGGGAGGCCGGGTCCTGGCCTTCAGGAGCTGCTCCCATGCTCCTCGGGTCCTGGTGAGGAAGGGTAGGTGGGCAGAACCCCCAGGGCTTGTTGAGAGCTGCCTGTATTTTGTCTCCACAGCCTTCCTGGAGACAAGAAAGGCAGCCCCGCACCTGCCACCACCGCCAAGAGCCACCTCAGCCTCCGGCGGAGACAGGCCCTCCGGGGGAAGAGCAGCCCTGTCCTGAAGAAGACCCCCAACAAGGGCCTGGTACAGGTCACCACACACCGACTGTGCCGCCTGCCTCCGAGCCGGGCCCACCTCACCACCAGGGAAGGTATGCTGGGAGCAGGGGCGCTGGGTACTGGGGCTGGGCATGCCTGCACTGGATCTGCTGGCGTGTTAGGAGCCATGGTCACCTTCCCTGCCTTATGCTGTTAGAGGCCCTGGCTGGGCGGGCACTGCCTGGCAGATGGTGGTGGTGGGCTGGCAGGTAGAGGAGAGGGCCCGGGGCCGGGCGCGGTGGCTCAAGCCTGTAATCCCAGCACTTTGGGAGGCCGAGACGGGCGGATCACGAGGTCAGGAGATGGAGACCATCCTGGCTAACAAGGTGAAACCCCATCTCTACTAAAAAATACAAAAAATAACTAGCCGGGCGAGGTGGCGGGCGCCTGTAGTCCCAGCTACTCGGGAGGCTGAGGCAGGAGAATGGCATAAACCCAGGAGGCGGAGCTTGCAGTGAGCTGAGATCCGGCCACTACATCCCAGCCTGGGCGACAGAGCGAGACTCCCTCTCAAAAAAAAAAAAAATAGAGGAGAGGGCCCGGGTGCTGCGCCCTGCAGTCTGGGTGTGGGATGTGCTGCTAGGCAGGTGCTGTGGCCTCTTCTGTGTGTCTCTTGGTATGGACCCAGCTGCGTCCCTCCTGAGGGAGGAGGGGCGGCGGCTGCTGAGCCCTTAGGCGCAGGGGTGAAGCCCTCACTTGTGCTGTGCTGGGCACCCCCAGGCCTCTGCCTCCTCCAGGGCCCTTCTGTGCTCAGCTGGCTGGGGCTGCAGGTCTGCCTGCCCTGCCCTTTCTGAGTGTCACATGGTGCTGTGCGAGTGTTTTGAGCGGACTGAAAGAATTGGTCTGGTCTCCCGCCGTACCACTCTGAGTGCACCCGGTCCCGCCTGGAGAGAAGTGGTCTGAGCTCCTGAGAGCCCCTGTGGTGGCCGGGGAAGGTCCCGGCATGCAGAGAAGTGGTCTGAGCCCCTGTCGCGGCCGGGGAAGGCCCTGGCCTGGAGATTGTGGGGTGTAGCCCCTTTGAGGTTGACCCCCACTGCGGTGATGGTGCCGACACACTGGGGGAGCAGCCTCCAGGCGGGCACGTGGTTGGGGGTATGTGGTGAGAGTCTAGCCCTTGGGTGTGGCACCCCCCAGACACTGTAAGGGTCAGTGTGGAGCCACGTTTGTCCGTGTGCATCTGGTCCCGTGCGACTCTGTGGCTCCCCTGGGCGCGTTAGGGCAATGGCTTCCTGAGCTCGTGTCTGTGACATCTGGAGAAGGTGGGGTGTTGGGGATTGAGCAGGCTTGGACCTGGGCACTCCGACTGGGGACTGGTGCTCAGAAATCTAGCCAAGGCTGGCGTGGTTGCTCACGCCTGTAATCCCAGCTCCTTGGGAGGCCAAGGTGGGAGGATCACTTGAGGCCAGGAGTTTGAGACCAGCCTGGCCAACATGGCAAAACCCCGTCTCTACCAAAAATACAAAAATTAGCTGGGCATGGCGGCACATGCCTGTAATTCCAGCTACTCGAGAGGCTGAGGCAGGAGAATTGCTCAAGACTGGGAGGTTGCAGTGAGCTGAGATCGCGCCACTGCACTCCAGCCTGCAGCCTGGGCGACAGAACAAGACTCTCTCTCTAAAAAAAAAAAGAAACCCATTCAAGCATACTATCATCTAGGGAGGCTTCAGAAGACTGTGGAAGGAGCTGGGCCTGGGCAGAGCCAAGAGTCATGTGGGGGCTGCCACGGGAGGGCAGGGCGTGTGGTTCCAGATGGAGGACTGAATGGGGCGATGCAGCCGGGTGTTGCAGCACGGGGAAGGGGGGGCAGGCGAAAGTGAGGCTGGGGGCGCAGGTTGGCTGTCCCCTATTAGCAGACACCTGCTGCATGCCAGAACACGTGGATTTCATCCTGGTGACAGGGAGCAAGCAGAGACCCATGTGGTCCCTGGTGGCCACAGTGAGGTGGCCGGATGGGGGTTAGGTCATGGGCTTGTCTGGGAGTGGATAGTAGGGTTGGCTTGGACAGTTGGCAGTGTCCCCTGGTCACCTGGGGAGGAGGGGTTGAGGAGGCGTCCAGCTCTGGGAGGTCAGGAGGGGCTGCTGAGCCCTAGGAAGCTGAGGCTTGCAGATGGCTTGGTGGTTGGGGTGAGAGGCTCCCCACTGGGTGCAGGGTCAGCCCTGCTCACCTGGCCTGCTCCCTCTTTGGGCCTCTAGTAGAGTGGGGCATAGGCAGGGGATGGGGGAGGCTGCTTCCGGCTAATGGGGCCTTGCTCGGCACCCCCGGACTCCTGTCGGAAGGAGTGTGGGCTTGGGAGGCCACCAGCTTCACCGGCTGACCATTGCGGAGTGCACAGTTGTGGGGCTGCTGCGGTCCTGCCTCACTAGGGGGAAGGGTGTAATTGATCTCATCTTTTTTTTTTTTTTTTTTTTTTAATAATGTTTTTAGAAACAGGGCCCTGCTTGCCTTCCAGGCTGGAGTACGGTGGTGCAATCACGGCTCACTGCAGCCTCAACCTCCTGGGCTCAAGTGACCCTGCTGAATAGCTGGGACTGCAGGTACCGGTCACTATGCCTAGCTAATTTTTACTTTTTTTGTAGGGACAGGGTCTTGCTTTGTTGCCTAGGCTGGTCTTGAACTCCTGGGCTGACGGGATCCTCCTGCCTTAGTCTCTTAAAGTGCTGGGATTACAGGTGTGAGCCACTGTGCCCAGCCAAACTCATAAAGACCAGTGTGAAGCTGGGTGTGGTGGCTCACGCCTGTAATCCCAGCACATTGGGAGGCTGAGGTGGGCAGATCACCTGAGGTCAGCAGTTCAGGACCAGCCTTGGCAACATGGCAAAACCCATCTCTACTAAAAATACAAAAATTAGCCGGGCATGGTGGCAAGCGCCTTAATCCCAGCTACTTGGGAGGCTGAGGCAGGAGAATCACTTGAACCCAGGAGGCAGAGGTTGCAGTGAGCGGAGATCTCCAGCCTGGGTGACAGAGTGACATTTTGTCTCAAAAAAAAAAAAAAGACCAGTGTGACAACTGCATGGAGTGAGAGGAGAGGGTCCTGGGTGAGGAAGGGGTGGGGGTGGGGAAGGCGTCCCCCTGACTTGCCCACCACTGGCCCATCTGGCAAGCACAGTTGAGTCACTGTGCCTGGCAGCCTGCTGGCTCCTGGGGTACTGCAGTGAAGGTGAACAGATGATGAGGCTGGAGCCGCCTTCCAGTGGTGGAGACAGGCAGCCACCGGAGTGCTTGTACATCAGCCAGAAAGGTGCTTCTGAGTGGAAAATGCCTTCTGAGGAACAGGCAGGGGGATAGCACAGGACCAGCTGCAGAGAGGTGGTTGGCGAGTGGGAGGGCTTCTCTGAGGAGGTGACCTGAGCAGAGAGGAGCGAATAGGGCTCAGCTCTGTAGGCTGAGATGGAGGTGGGAATGAGCTTGCTGCGTTCTGAAGCACGAGGAGGCTGTGGGGCCGGTTCTGGAGCACGAGGAGGCTGTGGGGCCGGTTCACCGTCTGGGAGTGTGGCTTGGAGGGGGTGGAGCCAACGGGGCAGAGGGACCAGGTCCCGGGAAAGGGTCTTGTAGGCCACAGGAGGCAAAGGGGGGTTGGTTCTGGTTACGTTGGGAAGCCAGGGAGGGACAGGGGAGGACCCTGGGAGGGGAAGGTCCAGGGCCCCAGGGTGTCTGGCAGGCCTGAGCAGGCAGTGAGTCAGGAGGGCCTGTGTGCGAGGCTGTGGACGCCAGGCCAAGGAGCAGAGTCCACACGCTCTCAAGAGGGCAGGGAGCCCATGGCGATGTGTGCAGAGGTGAGAGGCCGAGCCTGCATCTTGGCCTGGTCACTCAGGCAGCTGATCCCAGAGATAACCACTACAAGACTCCAAGCTGGCCGCAGGGGAGATGGGCATGGCCGGGACATCTGCTGAGGTGGGAGGCTGGGGCCCGGGAAGCTGGTGAGTGGCTCCCCGAGGCGCCCTCCCGCAAGGCCCACCATCTCCCTCCCTGCTTGCCTAAGAACTGAGGCTTGCCTGTCCTCAGCCCTGGTCAGGTGGGCTTCTGGGCAGGGCCCAGCTTTGTTTCGTTTAACACTGCAGTGCCCTGGTGAGCCAGTGAGCCCTCCCGCGTGGCCAAGGCCTCCATCGGCCGGGGCGTTCGTTCCTGGATGCTGGGGTTGTGTGGGCTGTGGGTGGGGCCGCCAGGTGGGGCTGCTCCTTCGTTTGGCTGTTTGGAGTTTTCTTTCCCCATTTTCTGCCCAGCAAAAGCTTAGTTCCAGCTCCACCTCTCCTCTTCAAGGAGAGGGCAGTGTCCCAGTGTCCAGATGGGGATGACTGCCCTGTGGGCTCCTGCACTAGGGACGGGCTTCTGAAAGCTGCCAGGCAGCCCTGCTGCCCCGTCCCTCCCCCGCCACACTTCAGCCTTGCCGTGCGGCCCAGTGGCCAGCAGAGGGCGTGCTTGCCCCTCCTATCCCCTCTGTCCGCCCTTTTTTGGTAATTGATCGCCTAATTTCCTCTTTATGTGAAAGAAAGCAGATATCAAGTAATTTGCAGCAATAACCTGCTAATGCTGGGCCAGTATCGAAACTCCCCTGTTCATTTCAAGTGGTAGATAAAACGCTAATACATAATTATCCTTGCAAATTGGATTATTTTAAATAACCAAAAGGCTACGGCCAGGAGAAAGCGATCCCATCTCCCCTGAGTTACTATTGCAGCGTAATTGCCGCGTTCAATCAATTTCCCTGGCATTAGAAATTCCATCACAATCAACATTAAGCTTTATTCATTGTGATGGCTGAGAGCCGGGCCATTTCTCCTCTTTTTCTTAACTGGCAAAATTAATCAGGGAAAAGATTTTAAACATTTACCCGTGCGAAAGAGGTCAGCCCTGCCACTATATTGCTCAGCAGATAAGGGGGCTAATAAAAAGAAAATTGAATTACTAATGATCACCAAGAACAGAGTATATAAAACCTGGCCATCGCCAGTTCAGGAAAAGGGAGAATCAATTTTCTTGGGACAAGGTGCGTTCATTTTTTATTTTGGCGCATATTATCAGCAATTTAATTTGAGAGGCATAAACAGGAGG